CATTAATAGTTTCTTATTCCAGTTGCATTACAACTGTAATCCTTCAAATCAATCTCTTCCCCCTCCTCCAGGCCCCCCCAAATCTTATTGACTTCAAGTCATTGAGTCCTGTGCAAGATAGTACAGTGTCCAACCTTGCTGATTCTTTAAAATATTGGGGCTTAAGGCACTTAGGCCCAAATGTTTGTACTCATTATTAATATAAGGCAAACCGACTGTTTTATTAAGGGATGTAGGATTTGATTCCTAAATTGTTTTTTGTGACAGTAGTTTTCTTTGTGCATGTGGCACTGTCTTTAAAAATTTAATCCATAAACAACTTAAAGCCAATCATCCTTTTCCTCATATACTCTCCACAATTAGAAGAAACAAAGCCTGTATGTTAGTCAATTTTTTAATATTTGTTTGCTTATTTTACTAATAAATATTGCTGCTTGCTTTCAGAATGAAAGTAACTGTCTTCCCTTCTTTGTCTTTTCTGTCCTTTCTCTCTTGCTTTCGTGGATATGACCTCCAGGAGGATAAAGTGGTTAGAGTTTTTTTTTTCTGTCTGAATTCATTTCTTATGAGTAGTCTTAATGCTGAAGGCTGGATCTACCTTCACTTACAGAGGTGCAACTCCCATTGAAGTCAAGAGGAGTTGCTCTCATTTAAGTGAGAGTAGAAATAATCCCAATAGTTATTAATATATCATCTTAAAAACATATAAGCTTAAATGTGTTGTAGATTATATGCATGAAAAATTCTGTATTAATAGTTTTATGAGCATGCACCTATTTTTTCTCCTTTAATTTTGCAGTATGATGTGTGCACAGTTGAAAAACAAAAAAGAAAGAAAGAAAATGAATAACTGGTATAGTACTCATGGCTTTTTTAAATCTAAAAGTACAAATGTATACTTGCATGGCATAAATTTGGTAATATCAGCTTTGTTCACAGTGGTAGCCATGATTGTATAATTAACTACATGTTGTTAAAATTGTAGGGTTTTTTATTCTTCTGGTTTGTTTGGAATTACAGTTCAGTCATTTGATTTTTTTTTAAAGCAGTAGTATAAAACATTAATCATTTATCAATAAAGTCAAGAAAACATCTGTTCTAAAATATCTGAATAAACAATTTACTTGATGCTTTCTAATTCCTATAATTTTATAGTCAAGTTAGCAATTACTATTTAACTTATTTTTGTTTTAATTAAATTGAGCGCTAAACATTAATTTGCCATCCACAAATCCTAGTGCACATATTATATTGAGCCTAATGCTGAAATAATGTTAAAAGTTGTGCATGCTACAAATATTTTTTTGGTTTGTTTTGGTAATACGAAACTGAAAATGTCCTCTTAAAACCCGAATTTATTAATTGATGTTTAGGAGAGGATGTGTTAAGAGAAAATATGAATATGCCTGGACAGATTTAAAGATTTTATCAAAAGGAATGAAATTTTATTACAAACTGGAACCAAATAAAAATGCCCTGTGTAGAATAAATCTGTTCTGTGAAGATGACTGTCACATATTATAAAACCACCTGCAAATATGGGAGCAAGAACTCTTTAGTTCTTGGCAATTAAATTTCTGCCATTGGTCAGATTAAAGAAGTTTTTTGTAGTTTGCACATGTTCATGTAGGGGCATATAGAGCAAAGTCTTCTGTTGAATTCAGTCTTCTTCGTTGTGCTTCCAGTCCAACCTTTCAATATGGTCTACTCCCAATATTCTGCACAGGCCACTGCTTCTGGTGTTGGCGTTGTCAGTTCTTGTAGGGTGTATCATGGTGCTACAGGGCAACTCAGGAGATGATCCATGTCAAACACATTGGTCACTTGCATAACAGCCCCTTGATTTCATGAGAAAGTTGCATCTACTGAGACCCACTCTCAATCTGTTCAGGCTTTGTCATATGTGCCATTTTTAGTTGGAGCCTGATGCTAATTCGTCACTGGGGGTAATTCCTTGCCAGCTCCATTCAACAGCTTTGTTGCCTAGTTTCTCCCATTCTTTTTTGCCAGAGGGTAGTTGTGGCAGGTTCTGGTGATGTGGTCAATGGTATGGTACAGGATAAAAAGCTATTTCTCAATGAGAGATGATGGTGTTCTGGTTAATATCTATATAACAGGTGGCAATCATCTGACTCTTGTACCTGCTGGTCAATGTTGCCTGCTGCTTTCCTTCTGAAGTAAGGGAGTACTATGCCAGATAGTGCATATAGGCAGGGAACGGGTGGGTTTTAGGCAGCCAGTTATAATTCTGCATGTATCATCTAGTGCAGTATTAGTATGTTTACTGTGACATGAGGGTCCCCAGGTGCTGCAGGTGTATTCAGCCACAGAGAAACAAAGTGCTAAGGCAGTAGTGCATGGGATGAATGGGTTTGCTTCCCACTTGGAATTTGTAAGCTTATTCAAAATGTTGTTTTGTGTGTTGACCTTGGCTTTGGCATTTAATATGTGCTTTTTGTAACTAAGGCCCAATTTTGTAACTACGGCTTCTTGGCTTAATTTAAGGTACTGCTATTGACCTATCAGGCTCTAAGTAGCCTGGGCCCTTTATATCTAAGAAACCACCATCTCCCCTTATGACCCATTTTGATTAGGGACTTACTGTACTTTAGGTGGCTGCCTGCTGATTTTGGGGGAAGAATGTGGGGCCCAGCATCCATTTCACATGCAGAATTCAGGGCCTGGCAGCCATTCTGTGGGTGGAGTGCAGTGCCCCCCCCATATGCCTCTGATGGCCAAGCAGCCTCAGTGGCCCTGATCCCTACCACTGATTAACTTTGTGGGCTGCCTGCCATACAGCCCTGTCCCTTGCTGCCAATTGGTGGAGGGAGGTGGGACCACATGGTAGGCAGCCCTTGCAGCCAATCAGCAGTAAGGGATGGGGGTCATAGAATCATAGAAGTAGGGTTGGAAGGGACCTTATAGATCTTC